GACTGGGTTCTATTTGATCTACAACCAAACCAAAAGGGCGCTGTCAGGTGATAGAAAGTAAGGTAATGTAACTTAAACCAAAACCAACACCCCAAGTATGGCAACATTACAAAGTTACAGTGTAAACATTACGATACGATACAGTCAACACGGTGCAAGGTAACACTGTAATGCGGTCTTGTAGTGTGACGCGAAAAACTGAATAGCTATACAAGGAGACATTTGTAACGTAACGCAGCTGTATAAAGATGAAAATATGTACTCGTATAATAACGTCATATATCTCAACACATTCCGGAATGGTACATGTTACGGTGATGTGACGCGACAGCACATCACTTCAACACACACACACAAACTCTCTCTCTCTCTCTCACCAGCTTGCCCACCCGCGTAAATAGGAGCAATAAATTCATCTCCCGTCAGTGAGTGAGTGAGTCAATCAGAAATAAAGTAAGGCACAGAAACTACCGGCACAGCTGACAAAACCAAGCAGGATAGGCCACTTACTGACGCTGGGTCAAGAGACTTTTTAAACAATTCACTTGTGTGGGCTTTCTCTCTCCGCCTGTTGCTGTCATAAAGAGATAACTCTGGACAGTTTCTCTTGTGGCTGTCATATTCACCAGCTTTCTAAAGTGATGTGACGGAGCTCATGTTTATATTGGAGGCAGTGATTATATTTACTAGTGGAGTGCTGGTGGAGGCGGTGTTGGGCTACTTCAGTGTTGTATAGGACGGACACACACACTGGGTACACAAAACCAAACATGAACACATACTTAGACCAACACGGAATATATAAAAAATAACGCTAACATACACAAACACATGGAATATAGATAATGTACATACACAAACATGGAAAAAACAAAAAACGAATTTATTGAAACGTATACAAACAAGAACTATCGTAACACCGCTTAAATGTGTACTGTCTGACACACATATACCAACAGCCACCATTACCGTCACTAACAACAATGATCAACAACCACTACCAATTTATCAACCCGTATCAAGACGGATCAACTACCAACCAGTACCAAAACAATCAACCACCATGGCCAACCTCACCACCACCCTCACATAACCCCCAAGATATCGTTAGTGTTAAATCATCAGGTGAAATAAACTGGGGCTAATCTTCAGGCGATTCCTTGAAATTCTTAAATTCTCACAAATTCTTATCAAAATGGTGTCCTTAAGAAAAAAAAAATCCAACAATTTTCTAAGACACAAAACTGTACACCCAAAAATAACAGGGTCGCAGTGATGGACAGTCGGTGCTCAGCTTGAAGTTCACGGACACACTGTTATATTTATTGTTTACTGCTTGGTCTGGATCGCCTGTCTGCTGCAGGTGTTCTCTTATGACTGGTATGAGTAACAGTGATCCTAGACCCGGCGAGGCCTTAAGTGTACCTGTAGTCAGGAAACATCTGTGTCATGTTTCACCCAAATCCGCCCAATAGTGTTTAAGACGATCACGTAAGCGCTTATAAAATAATAATGACTGGCCCTCATGCTTGAGAATGGCCGACCGTAGGGCCATCTAGGCGTAAATTGGTTTAAGATGAAGATGTTGCCACCGACATAACAAATACACCCTGAGTTAACGAGATGCATGAACCCAATGTCAAGGAATAGTCCGAGAAGATCGGACAACTCGTCAACTGCACTGGCTAACCATTACCCCAGAATACGATCCGCAAATCGATTAACGTCCAGGTTCCCAATTACTGCTGGGTAGACAGAGGCAAATGGCGTAAAGAAACTTGCCCATAGTTTCACCCTGCCCGGGGATCAAACCCGAATTCACTGGCTTGCGAGTTGGGCATGCTGACCATTACACCATGGGTCGGTAAGTGTTTACTGGTGGAAAGACGAGCAGATGCAACCAACAACCAGAGACTTAATCAGAGTATCCTGCGCCTATCTGAGGGTTGGCGACCACAGTCCTCCACTCTAAACATTCTCAGGCGGTTTTTACCAATCCTCCATCCAAGATTTTGTATCTCTCTGGGGACCCAGTTATTAATTTTATTCATCCATCCGAGTCTCTGCCTTCCCCTGGCCCTCCTACCCTCAACTTTACCCATTAATATTTCTGTTATCTCCAAATCCCCAATTATATGACCACAAGCTTTATCACGTTTCATTTTGCTTACAGCTACCGCAACTTCTGATTCCTTATCAAGTTTTCAGTGTACGTATAGTTCGTCCACATACTCTGTGCACCTCTCGTTTACTTCTTCTGCCTCAAACAGGTCATTGCCTTTGCTTTTAATAGCCCCCCCACACACACACAGACCCTCCTCGGTAGACCTAGACTCGCGAAGGATGACTAACACAAGACACAGACAGACAGGTGAATGATGCACTTAAGAAGTTCATTCTACCACCGCTACCCCCTCGAGTGGTGTTAACTGCCCACTACGCCATCTAACGGTCTAACATCACGTTTAGGAATGTATACTAAGGATTAAAATATATAAATACACTGAAACAACTGTAAACGCCTTGTTGGAAAACGATTTAATTTAGAAAACAATCATCTATTTCAATATTATTTTTTTGAACGTATGGAGACGAGAGGAAGAGTGGCGATGAGGGGAGAAGAGGAGAAGAGGTAAATACAGGAATGAGATGAACGGTACAGACAGACGAGTCATCCCTGGTGTGGTAGAGAAGAGACCGCCACTCATAACTAAACACAAAGTCATTAGTCTCAGTCTTCATGCCGCCACTACCGCCTCAGATGCTTCAGATATATCTCTCGGTATAAATAATTGCTGAAAACACCTTAAATAAACTAATAAATACATACAAAATTGGGTGTTGGTGTTGTTACGAGTTGGGGATTTAGAATATAGTTAAAAGTCTACCCAGATCCCAACAGGCAACAACAATAAAAAAACAAAGACAATCGGACTATAAAAGGGTAGACAAAGGATGCGAGTTTTTGTTGTGTATAATAAAGTACCATAAATTCCTTAACAAAATATTCAGCTTCTTATAAATTACCCTTAACCATACTTAACCTAAACATAAGCAACATTGGCTAAACAGTATATACATATTTATACAACATTCGGAAGCAAGTGGACGTGGGGAGGCAATATAAGATTACAAAATACTCAAGTGCAGTGCTGAGATGGCTGACGAGTAAGGATGAGTATTGAAGAAGATGGTAGGTAGTCACTGTGCCATAGGTTTCCAGGATAGGTGATCCTAGTGTGGTCACTTCTCAGAATGAACTGAACTTTCCTCGATCTGGAGCTCATGATTCGACTTGGAGGAGGTGATGCAACAACCAGGATATGGAGAAGGGAAACCCCGGAGTGGTGACTAAGACCGTTGCTCGTGGTGCTGGGTAGGTAGATCATGACAATAGATGGCGTGGTTCGTAACAGTGTGTAGAAAGACATCAACAGGACGATAATCGATGAAGCGCAGTGATACATTATAACATCAACCAGACGTCAAGTGTAGGTGGAAGGTGGCCACACCCAGTACTCACCTCAAACTGTGCACCAAAGACGTGTTAAACACAATAAAGTGCTCGACACCCTGCACACGACTGTACTGTACAAGCACATGACAAACACCAAATTAATTCGAATGGTAAAAAAAAAGTGTTAGCGTGTTTGACCCCAACACATATGGTCTACCTGGACAAACACTGGGCAGTCCGTAGCCTCTTAAGTAATGAAACACAAAAGAAAATTAAGTTCATAATATCTAATAGTCTTGTCTAAGTATATAAACTATAAACATTTAGTGAACAGTGACATAAGCATCCTGGCTGTCGAAAAACCTGAATCTTCATCAGCGATATTTAAATTAAAATCCAATCACGTTTATCTATACTGTATTACCCAACAAGCAGTTCTACGGCCAAACATAGGGACGGACCCCTCTCCTATATTCTCTGATAATGATAACGTATCTTTAAGCCCAATATTAATAACGCATTTTCCCGCTAAGATCATTATCCGTCATGCTATTACCTTCCCAAAACAAATTTCATAAATACTATTAAAACACAGTCTTCCGTTCATCAAAGGTGTGCTGACCACTTTCTTGTCGTCCCCATATACAAATACATATAATTTCAGTCAATTTGTTTAAGATAATTATAAGTTACCTATATTAAGAACAGCTATTTAATTAATTTTCAGTCATTAGAGTAATTCACCAATTAGCCTCATGATAAAGGCTGAAGTTGCCAGGATGTGACAGGTGGCAGGAGAGTTTGTCTGGCGACTTTTTATAAATGTTTTGTTTTTATGTCGAGATATGATTCATTATTTTTTCAAGTTTCTATTCATTCTAATAAAAATACAAACAATAATAGTGTAAAAGTGGGAAACTGAATAACTGTAATATCAACGTCTAACATAACAACAGGTAGTAGGCAGCTATCAAACAGGGAGGTATTACCGCCTGGGAAGATATTGTATTGTCTAATGGTAGACGCAGGTTGCTGACCAGAATTTCTCTCATTTACACACAATTGCAGGGTTTCAATTGTTTCTCTTACTTTGCCAACATAAAATACATATATCGTGTCTCACTATTGATCTCTTTTTTGGGGGGGATTCTTTATTAATATTATATTTTTATTTAATATTTTGTATAATGTTTTTATTAATTTTTATTAATTATTATTGTTGTTTTATTATTTTCACCCCCAGGCCCAAAATGATCAATATCAAAGGTGACACCATACTGTTAATGAACCGGATGTGTGTACTGGAGACGTTAATAGTGTATCTATGGCAGCAAAAATTACTAGTCAATTGAGCTGTGACCCATACAAGTTGACCTTCAATATACAAAAATTTCACCTGTATCAGCAAGACATAACAACCCCTTCAAACCAGAATTATTGTCATTGTGATCATGCACCCTACATGATAACATTGACATCCTTTACACCATTCACGGCGGCCCAGTACAGACCTGGGTCTGTCATTTAGAACATTGCCACTGACCTGTCTCTGAGTGTTGCTTGTACCTGTGAGCGTCCCTGCGGCTAATGCGGCCTTGGGCGGAGTCACGGACGTCCAGGGGTGTCCTGCGGGCACTGGCTGCCCTCTGTACGTTGCTGATATGGGTGTGACTGCCGGGTCGCGTACCCCTGCCCTGGGGCTTACCCCTCACCCTCACATCCTCCACGGTGCCATGTCGTCCACTGCTGTTGTCTAGGACGGCCATAGGGCGCCGCCCATCGCCCTCCGTAACATTGTAGCGCCTTTGTGGGCTGCCGTGACCACGTGTGGGGGAGGAATGGGCTCGCCCGTTGTATTCGTGCAGTCCAGGCTGGTGTTCTTGGCTCATCGGTGACGTAAACAGGTGATTCTTGAGTTCTATCCTGGTGATGGACTGTGAGGCCCAGTGGCAAGTGTCACACGACTCGCACGAGGTGCACACTGCCTGGCGAAGGTCCACGTGGTCCTCGTCCACCACCACCACCTCCACGCCCCCGAACGACCCGCGTCGCGACCCTGCATTTGCGGAGGCGCTGCGACCCCGCCGGGGACTGTACCGTCGCGTGGGGTCCGGGGTGTAGCAGCGCTCGTCCTGGGAACAGCAGGGACCGTTCCCACCACAGCACCGGTCATACTGGGAACAGCACGCCTTACCGCCCACCCGCGCCTCACCCAACATCTTGAGGGCGTGTGGGTGTTTGTGGGCGTCAGACAACTGCAGCTCAGGCGTGATGCGGTAGTCGTCGCTGTATGAGCCACTGCGGGAGGCTCTCGGCTTCTCCCTGGGTTCAGGCTTTACACCCCTGCGACCCCACCGACCCATCAGTACACCTGCACAACAGTAATGACACAACACCACTATACACCAATGCCACAACACAGTAACGCCTCTGGCACCACTACACACTGGATGCACGTCATGAGGCAGAGGCAGTGAACCACACAAAACACAACAGACAGGTGAGCCACGAGCGCATGTGGATGGTTGAAGGCGTAATGACAGGCGTGTGTGTCTAACCCCCGCGCACGCCTAGTTCCGCCCACCCACGCCAAGCCCCACCCATACACACTAAACTCCGCCCATTCACGCCAAACTCCGCCCACCTGACGGCAAAATTCAGCAGCATGCGGATTAAAAGATTGCATTATAATACCAAATTACTTACGATTACCTGACAACAACAAGCACTCGTAAGACTGTTATTAAAGGCAATCAACCAGAGAGCCTCACCATGAAAGGGAGTCTGCGAACAAGACCACGTAAACATCTCGCTAAAATAGGTCACACGTTCAGCTTACATCACACAGTACAGGGAGAGGAAGTGTTACCTGCCATCACTCTCAATCATTACGACAGTATGGTAAAGATGTCTCAGGCGCGCACTCTTATTTATTCATTATTTTGGGGGGGTCACAAAAACCGCATTTATTAACAGAATGCAAATCAGACGGAGGAACAGTTTCGAATTTATTTATAAACTAGACCGTGGCATCTGTACTTGGGCTAAATAACAAACCACCGGTGAACCTTATCTAATCGTGGCAGTAAAACAACAAGTTATGTCGAGTTATGGTCCAGAAAATATTACTGGAACAAAATGAAGGTAAATAACATATCTCTCGAGGTGCTTTCCTTGGTCCTCCACCGTTTTATATGCGTGTATTACATTTTTTTATTATAAATTCCGAATAAAGAGACAGCCAAGCGTGCGACACAAACCAACCAAATATAACCTAACCTAACCAATTTAACTTAACCTAACCAATTTAACATAACCTAACCAATCTATCTTTACCTAGCATGAGATTTCTAAACCTAACCTGATCAATTTAACTTATATTTATCAAGTCAAGATTTGGTTATTTGGTGTCGCCTCTTGTCAGATATGTCTTAACGTCCGTGTTCATCATCAACAACACATGATGGTCGGGAGGACAAGTTCGTGTGTTTTGGCTACTGTAGAAGGTTCAATCTCCGTCAAACACGAGTAACGACACTGAACGGCGTAGTGTGTGTGTGTGTGTGTGTGTGGACTGGGTGTGTGTGTGTGTGTGATGACCATGTATGACGATTTTCTGTAAGGTGACGGTGTGACGTGACTGTGCTGTGGTGTGACTGTACGTGACGACTATGCTGTATGCCGGATACTCCCGCCCATCACCAGCCAAAATTTAACAGCTTGTCGAGTACACCATGAACATTTTAACGCCGAATCAGAAACGCCTACCTGACGATCACTGACACTTGTAACACCGTTATTCCGGCCAGTCAGTCTAGGGTGCCTCATTATGAACTGGGTTAAGTGTATCTGATCATATATAAACAGTTTATTGGTTCGATCACATGTATTATGTTATGGTATCAGGCGAGGAAAAAGTGCTGCGTCTTAAATATTTCTGATCACAAATACTCCTCATCACAAACATTCCCGTCACATAAACATTCCTCGTCACAAACATTCCCCGTCACTCAAATACGCGTCACATAAACATTCCTCGTCACACAAATATTCCTCGTCACACAAATACTCCTCGTCACAAACACTGAGGTTGGCCCTTAAGGTAACGATGATCCAACACGAACGCCCGAAAATCATTTCATGTATCTGTCCATGGTTGTTCAAGGGCAAGAGAAGACATTAATGAGAATGGTTGGCCCCAAACTTTTCCGCACCATAAGACTTAATCGAGGAATAGAAAAGGCTAGGAGTGAGCTATGGGGTGCAGTGGTCGCCCGTACTTACTGTGGTAAAGAACCAGCCATCACCGACCACCTTAAATAATTACCAGAAAAAAGCAATACGGGTTTGGTTATAAATCGCGGAACCTTGGATTTTGGCATTACGTCAGAGGGAGAGGAGCTCGGCCAACAGGAAGGGTCGGCCGGGGTAACTAACGTAGGTATACCAGGAAGGCCACGAGCACTTCCACTAATAACCTCACTTCTGACCCCCATAAACACAACTTCTTAATGACTGATACAACTGAATTTCGGGATTTAGGTGAGGAAGCTAGATTCCACATTAACGATCCTTTTTGGTAATAACATCATTAACATAGAAGAAGAGAACGAAGCAGCGTGCAGTAAGTCAGATGTTACCTCTCTCAACGACCTCCTGGACCCAGTAGTCAGGGTGGTAACTTCTTGTCACTGCTTGTTACCTAGCGACAGGACCTCAATATTACCCGTATGCGACTAAATCAACTTATATTTCAGTCAGTGGCGAACATAAGTTGATAATGTCCAACTATATATTATAACTGAAAACTTGGAAAATATTTACATTCATCTTAATGTATAATATCATTTAGCAGTGGTAACAAAATATTACTCCTGTTCCTTATAACTAAACTTAGGATTGTAGCCAGCTGGACACTCGGACCATGTTATAACATTGTGTAGCGGATAAAACAGAAAACAAGACAACACTGTACTTCTCTGATTAAACATTAATGATAAAAACGTTCAGACACCACACAGGTGCCATGCCTCTCTAACAGCTGACATTTTTCAAACAGGCACTGTAAATATTTGAGAGGCAGCAAGTACGTGGTACACACGACGAGTGCTACACACACACACACACCACTAGTACACAGGACATGAGCAGTGAAGGTGGTGTGGTTGTGGAGTAGCGAGACCATCTTGGGTCACAAAAGATACTGTATAATACTGAGGTGGATTTAACGACGACACTGAACATGTCTCAAGAACATGACACTACACACTGAGGCTAACCAACTCAAAACATGAGGTCAGGTAAAAAAACATGACTTTCACTAATCCACACACCAATCACACAGTAAACATAAGAAGAGATTATAAGAAAGGGCGACATAACTAGTCATGTCACGTCAGGTAAAAAATATGAGACCCACTAATCATCTACCATACATCTACCTTACATGCTTTCAAAGCATTTTTAACCTTGGGCCACTGACAAATAAATTTGTGTAACATATTATCAGTTTTGTACTGACCATCACTAAGGTTTAAAGAATACATTTCTCTAATCAAACTTGCTTCAACCAGAAGTCTTTCTGTGACACGTGATGGTTTACACACTTCTAAACTGTTTTCCCAATCTATGGGATGATTATTGCTCCTCATATGAACGAACAGTGCACTGCTTTCAGATGCCGTTGTAATAATGTACTTGTGCTGTTTAATTCTGAGTTGCAATGCTTTCCCAGTCTGTCCTACATAATTTCCATTACAATTGCTACATGGAATACAGTAAACACTTCCATTTACTTTCAAGGTTGGGCTATTCTTAATTAATATATTAGTAATAGTTGAGTCTTACATAAATACAACATTAATGTTTAATAATTTAAGGGACTGAACTAACGGGACAAATTCATTGCGATAAGGTTGTCCAAATATTCTTAAATGTAGGAACTTGCCTAGTTTGAGTAGAATACAAGGATTGTTTAGCCCTTTTAAAACAACGATCATAGAACCATGAAGGGTGCCCAAGTTTTTGTGCAATGGACTGAATGTGCTGCAGTTCTTCTTCAATAAATTCAGGGTCACAAATACGTAAGGTCACCCTGTGTACATAAGCTCTCTCTCAGTCTTTGTAATTCAGTTGCCTCTGAAGATGTCTTGAATAAAGACGAAAGCTAAACTACTGTACCTATACTTTATACCTAATTCTGTACTTATATTTCTGAAGTACCTGTATTCTGAACCCGAATTTTTATAAGATCGCACACTCGCACTTAGTATACACGAACATGGAGCCATATGTTCCAGTAATTTCTCTCAATCTTTGCAACTCTCCTTTACGTGTGTCCACTAGGCCTATAACCTATCACCAGCTGGGAGCCACGGGAAGGTGAAGCACCTTCGCGAAAACCAACCACTGCTGATGACCAGAGAGGCTCGCGTGTTCACCTGCAATTCACTGGAAAAATAAATGGAATTTTTCCATTCACGTATGTGTGTGTGTGTAACCATCACACCCACCTCAACAACCAACACTATATCGACTACCGTACTAACCTTCACCCCTAAACACCACCAGCCAACCCTCCCGACCTCATACATACTGTATATTCCCTCACAGAAACTGAGGCAAATAACATGGAGTCTACCAAGCTTGACGAAGTCCTGACTTAGTATCGTGCAGAGCTTCGCCTTATGTAGGTCACAGAAGACACGACAATATATGAGGGAGAACAGTTTAGAAAACCTCGTGCGGGAGACAGCTCCACGATGAGAATAATTTAGTCCATTTGTGCTGTAGCTCAGGCTGGTGAAATGTTCTGCTGGCTGTAATACCATAAGCTCACACATTATTAAAGTATGCTAAAATAAGTTAAAATTATGACAGTACCGTATGTGGGTGGCGGTTAAATATCACCTTAGAGAGCTTCCATATGTCGCTGTCAACAACGTAAATACGAGTTAGAAAGACACACATTACGTATTAAGTTTCATACAGAGGACTGAGACTTGGCCCAACATCCTGATCCTACACAGTACAGTACTGTACTTGTAATACCTGGCATGCAGGAACTAGTTACCCACGTCTTGTAATCTTTGTTTATTGTCTGAGTCACTTGAGAACCCGAACACTAACGCCCGGAGTTTTAAACACCCTCTTCCGTTGAAGAGGGTCGTCTTGTTTCAACCAGAGTTTTAAATTAAATGACTCCTGAGGGACACCGCAGTACAGTACTTGACGGGGTGGTGTGGCGGTAAAATTAACTAATTCCAATAAAATTAATTTATAATATTGGAACTAGTTAATTTTACCACCACACCACCCCGTTAAGGACTGTACTGCGGTGTCCCTCAGGACTCATTTAATTTAAAACTCTGGTTGAAACACGACGACCCTCCTCAAGGGAAGATGTTGTTTAATAATACGGGCGTTTTGACTTGCAGTGTGTGGCCACCTTCTCCCTCCCCTGCAACTGGTGACGGCACTTTCCGTCACGTGTAGGGATCGTAGACGATAGCGAAGCTGCG